GTTTGAGCAATGCTGTTCTAGGTCTCTTCCCACGCGCAGGAGTGGGTAGAGGCTGTTATTTCTGAAGTGAGCTGAATTCAGAGACTGGAGCTTGACATAGAAGAACCCCTGAGGTTCCTTCCAGCCAGCAGAGCCTATGGTTCTTCCCTTTGAACCCAAGTAAATTGAGATCAGTTTCAGTGACTGGCTCATTTGTTCACATCTCTTCCAAGAAAGTAGGTAGAGGAGGGTGCAGTTGGTGGGCATGAGCTGGCAACAGCCCAGGCTCACTCATACCAAGCAGCTCTGGAATGCAGCGTGGAGGGAACCCAGTGTCTCTTTTACAGAGGCCAACGGGGGCACCTTGGCTCACTGTGCAAGCAGGCTCCCTGTTGATTCACTGGTTTTCTAGAAAGGATTTTTACTGCTTAGCAATCCTTCTCCTGAGACATTGTTTAGGCTCAGAGGTGGTTGAATTGAGCCTCAACTATCTGTACCAAAGAACCGAGGCAATTGAGAATCCCAAACCTGCATCCCAACTCTGAGCCCTAGTCACCTCTGTGTGGTGGGAGCTGACCTTCCTCTGGCCCCTGCCAGGATGAACAGGTGTTCCCTTCCACATGCCTGATTTAAGGCTGAGGGTGGGGGTGAGGGGAAGACAGGCATGAGCCTGACAGAATGGCAGGACACGTTTGCTTCAAATAAGCCACACACGGTAAGGAAACAGCTACCACATAATGTGCGCTCTCATGTGCCAGGCTCTGATGCCTGTGTGAAGTCTCGTTGTCTCATTTTGTCTTTGCAGCCACCCTATAATGTGGGTGCTGCTGTTACCTCCGTTTCACAAGAGAGTAAACTGAGGCTCAGGCAGGGTTGAGATCCAGGTCGCTGTAACCCAGGATGCCTAGGTCCTTTGCCCTAGACCATGCACTGTGGGCCCTGCACAGATCCTGGAGGGGTCCTACACTGGCTTCTGCAGCCCGCCAGGGACCTCTGGAAAGCACTCAGGTTCCTGTAGCACCAGAGTCCTGTCTGAGTTTGTGTCTGTTCCAGGGGACAGTTTCCATATTGTCCATGTAATTTGCTAGCAGTCTCCGTGAACATCTTGTTCACTCAGTCCTCTCCCTTTTTAATTAGGCAAGAAACTAATTTCAGATTATTTGTGAGTCCATAGCGTTTCTTTTCATCTGTCTCTCCAGGATAGTCTTAATTTCACCCCGGGGCAGCCCAAGGGTTAGAAGACACAAGAGGGACAGTGGAGCTGGGACATACTGCTTTCCATCCTACATGCACTGTAAACTCCAGACCATGAACATACAGCGCTTTGACAGTGTTTTTAATAAGAATCTGGCTAGAGGCTGGGTGTGGTGGCTCATGGCTGTAATCCCGGCACTTTGGGAGGCGGAGACAGATGGATCACCTGAGGTCAGGAGTTTGAGACCAGCCTGGTCAACATGGTGAAACTCCATCTCTACTAAAAATACAAAAATTAGCTGGGCGCGGTGGCGGGTGCCTGCAATCCCAGCTACTGGGGAGCCTGAGGTAGGAGAATCGCTTGAACCTGGGAGGCAAAGGCTACAGTGAGCCAAGATCGTGCCACTGGACTCCAGCCTGGGTGACCTCTGTCTAAAAAAAAAAAAAAAAAAGAAAAGAAAAGAGAAGAATCTGGCTAGAGAGTAAACAGCATAGATTTGCTTTATCCCATTTATTTTTCTCAGGATCTGGATAATGAACAACATGTACATGGAATTACCTCCGTGCATAGCTTTAAATCTTAGCTCTGTTGCCTCCCAGCTATATTGCCTTGGTGAGTGGCATGATCTCGACTCATTGCAACCTCCGCCTCCCGGTTTTGTGCGATTCTCCTGCCTCAGCCTCCCGAGTAGCTGGGATTACAGGCGCCTGCCACCATGCCCAGCTAATTTTGTATTTATAGTAGAGACAGTGTTTTGCCATGTTGGCCTGGCTGGTCTCAAACTCCTGACCTCAGGTGATCCACCTGCCTCGGCCTCCCAAAGTGTTGGGATTATAGGCATGAGCCACCATGCCTGGTCTCATATGAACTTCTTTCTATCCTTTTATAAGAACCAGTTCCCAAGATAACAGCATGAATCCATTCACTGTGCCCTCATGGCCTAATACCCTCTCCTTAGGCCCTACCTCCCAACACTGTTGCATTGGGGATTAAGTTTCCAACACATTCTTTTGGGGAGAGACACTGAAACCATGGCAATATTCTAGCTAAAACTATCTCCAGAGCGTATATGGAGCCCCTGTGCTGAGCTCCTTGGGAGATCTCCCCTTTATATCTGTGGCACCAGCACAGTGCCTGGCAAACAAAAGGTGCGTAAATGCTGGTAGACTGAATTTGGTTTAAAACATAATTCCTGCCACAGAGGAAGATAATTCTGGCAGTGGTGTGGGGGCGAGACAGGGAGAGGGGATTAGAGACAGTGCCAATAGTTCAGGCGAGAGATGGAGAAGATCTTAATTAAGGCCTGATCCAACGGCATAAAGACGAAGAAAAGGAAGATGAATATTATTTACTGACATTCTACTCTGTGTTGTGCACATATAAGATATCTAATAACCTTGCAAACGAAGTCTTAATGTTCCCATCTTACAGATGAGGGAACTGAGGGGGTGGCCCGATACCTCACAGCCTGTACTTGGCAGGCAGACCCAGAGCACAGGTGCGGTGTGGGATGCTGGGGTGCTGGCATTCACAGATGCTGCTGATGCAGAATAGAGAGGACTGGCGGGGGGAGGACCTGGGGATGATTTAGTTTTCCATGAGGGTGATGAGTCGGTGGTGGTCCATTAACGAATGAGTTCTTTGGGTTGACCCTGTTGGAAGAGAGAATGCTTTTAGATCATCGTGGTTGGACCTTGCCAAATCCCACGGATGATAATGTATTGATAATGCTGGTACCTCTGGCTCCACTGAGTGCTTTTGGCCACGGAGTGATGTGTGGGGAGAGACCATGGCTCCTGGATGCCGCAGGGCCTCTGTGGGGTGGCCGAGAATGCAGACACAGCGCCACCAGGTGGTGGAAGGTCACTCCGCTACCCCGGGTTTCTCCCTTTTCCCAATAGACCATCTGTAGCCTGAAAGGCCAGCAGGGAACAGCGCTGTGAGGTTCCACGTGTAGGTACCATCCTGGCTCACCCTCCCTGGCCTCGCTCCTTCATCCTCGCCCCAGCTCATTTCCCAGGCTGCCTGCAGAGGGGTGGGTTCGGGCTGAGAATGAAAGTACTTGAAACTGAAATCCTTGGGCCCAGACTGTCCCTTGGCCTCACCCCCGTCTCTGTAAAAGCCTCTCATTCATCCAACGTTTACGAGCACCTCTAGTGTGCTGGACACTGAGGACACAAAGATGAATAAGGCGCTGTCCGGAGCTCTTTCACAGGCCGGGAGGGAGACTCGACACGGAGATCGCGTTGTCATCCTGCTGGCCAACTCTAAGAGGAAAGAGCACACAGAGTTGGAGGGCTCCTTCCCCAAGGAGAGAGCATTTGGATTGTACTTAGGGGAGGAGCAGGACTTTGTCAGGTGGAAAACCAGGGGTGCAATGGGAGGAAGAACATCCGGTCCAGAGAGGAGGCTGTGTGTGCTGGGGAAATGGTGACTGACCCACAGATACTGAGCATCCTTTCTGTGGCAGCTTGGCGCTGGGGCCAGGAACATGAATCATACATAGCTCCAATTATGAGAAACTCTTGCAATAGACATTTTCTTTTGAAGGATCTGTACACAAGTAAGGAATTTGGACACAGACCTTATGTACTGGAAGTCTGTGATACTAAATATATATATATATATATATATATATATGAGATGGAGTTTCACTCTTGTTGCCCAAGCTGGAGTGCAATGGCATGATCTCGGCTCACTGCAACATCCGTCTCCCGGGTTCAAGCGATTCTCCCACCTCAGCCTCCTGAGAAGTTGAACTATAGGTGCGCCACCACACCTAGCTAATTTTTTGTATTTTTAGTAGAGACGGGGTTTCACCATCTTGGCCAGGCTGGTCTTGAACTCCTGACCTCAGGTGATTGGTCTGCCTTGGCCTCCCAAAGTGCTGGGATTACAGGCGTGAGCTACTGCGCCCAGCCAATTTTTTTAAAGAGACAGGGCTATGCTGCCCAGGCTGGAGTGCAGTGGCTATTCACAGGCACGATCCTACTACTGATCAGCACGGGAGTTTTGAGCTGCTCCATTTCCCACCTGGGCGAGTTCACCCTTCCTTAGGCAACCAGGCGGCCCCCTGCCCCTGGGAGGTCATCATATGGATGCCGAACTTAGTGTGGACACCTGATGAGCATAGCAAACCGAGGCCCAGAACTCAAGTGAGGACTCAAGCGATCCTCCTGCCTCAGCCTTCCAAGTAACTGTGACTACAGGCACATGCCACCGCGCCTGGTGCATTTCTAATATTTAATGTACAGATTGGCCTCATGTCTGCACTTGGTCCCTGTTCAGTGGTCCACATGTGCGCATCTGTGAGGGTCTGAGGAGGTTAGCATATTGTGACATGTTTACACGTGGTCTGTGAGGTGGATTTATCGGTGATCTCATCTGGTTTTAACTAAATTAGTCCTCATACAATGGACAAGGTATTTAGCAAATTTCCCAAAAAGATATCAGGGATTAAGAGAAGGCCAGTAATGCGGGTAGGCACAGCAAATGGCCAGGCTCTTGCTCCCCTACTCAGAATGGGCTCTCATTATCTTTCTGTCTTGAGTATAAAATTGTAACAATCTCATTTTGCTTGATAGAAGCTGGCCAAAAGAAAAAAATCCAGAATTATCAAGATAATGTTTTGATTTTTTTTTTTTTTTTAAGTCAAGGTCTCACTCTGTCACCCAGGCTGGAGTGCAGTGGCAGGATCACGGCTCACTGCAGTCTTGATCTCCTGGGTTCAAGTGATCCTTTTGCCTCCTGAGTAGCTGGGACTCAGGCATGCCACCATGCCCGGCTAAGATAATTTGAAATATAGTCTCAAGTCTCCTGATGTTAGTACTACTCTGTCTCTCAGGGTGTATTATGCCTTCAGATATTGGCTAGTGATGTTAATGTACATAAATATAATTTATACATAAATAAACAGACATATATTAGAGATGTGTGCTAAAATTCTTTTGTTATTGACAGAGATCAAAGAACTTTGGAGACCACAGCTCTAGGCAATAAGGAGCCAGCAGGAGTTCTTTAAGCAGGAAGATGAATTGTTTTTATTTTATTCTGAAAGATCACTCTGGTAGCTGTGTGGATGGAGAGCCTGGGGTAAAGAGAATAGTAGGGAACTCATGCAGAGGTCCAGGTGAGAGATGAGATCCCAAACCCATGCATGGTAGGGCAGCCAGGAGGGCAGAGCAATTTCACATGCACGTTGGATTTGGTGACTGACTAGAGTTGGAAAATAAGGGCGAAGAGATCCGATCCCGGGGTACTTCCAGGTGTCTGGGTGATTAGGCAAATAATGGCACCACTTACCAAGGTGGCAGAGGTGGGTTTGGGGAGAAAGATGAAGAGTCTGGGACTGAAAGCTTGAGTCAGAGGTGCCAGGGAGAGCCCTGGGTGGAGGTCATACTTCCTGGGGTCCTGTGGCTGGTTTGGGGCTGCAGCCACCTCTTCCCCAGCAGGGTCCGGGTGAGGGAGCGGGCTGGGTCACGGTCATGATGAGTAAATCAGGCAGTAATGGTGTCCTCTGTCCAGACCTCCTGATTCTAGCCTGGTCACTGGGTGCTGCATCCCAGGTATCAGACCCTGATTGTTATCAGTGAGGGTGTCTAGGTTCTTGGCGCTTCGAACAAAGAATTGGACAAAACACACAAACAAAGCAAGAAAATAATGAAGCAACAAAAGCAGAGATTTAATGAAAACGAAAGCACACTCCACAGGGTGGGAGTGGGCCGAACAAGCGACTCAAGGGACTGGTTACAGAAGTTTCTGGGGCTTAAATACCCTCTAGAGGTTTCCCGTTGGTTACTTGGTGAACACCCTATGTAAATGAAGTAGAGGATCACAGTCAGTCTGATTGGTTGTGGAGAGGGATCAATCAGAGGTTGAAGTGCAGTTACAAAGTTACACCCTATGTGAATGTCTGATTGGTCGTGGAAAGTGACCAGAGGCTGAAGTGAAGTTACAAAGTTATACTCCTATGCAAATAAAAACTTGGCCAGCGACCAGCCTGATTGGTTGCGGGAGGGGACCAACTAGAGATACTTCACAGAAAAGGTAGGGTGGGGGGTCGTTACAAAGGGAGTAGCTTCTGGTCCTTTTGTTACTTGAGTGTGAAAGTTGAGGTTTTCCTTTTGATTTAGTTCTAGGAAGTCAGCATAAATTGGCCTTAGGTTCCCTGACTCCAGGCCCTATTCTCCTGCCTCATGATCACTCTGTATATTTCACTTCTGCAAAACCACTTAAATGCAGGTACCCTGTCTTCCTCCTCCTCTGAGCCATCATGGACGTGACAAAGTTACTTCTTCATGGTGCTCTAGGCCAAAGCATTGGGAAAGCCGGGTTAGGTTGGGAGTGTCCTTGCTGTCATCAGATCTGAGATAAGCAAAGTGAAATGCAGTGGAGAAGTGGGTGGGGCAGGGCAGGTTTGGGTGCTGTGCAGCTGTCTAGGTTGGGGAGGGACAGGTGTTTGACCACTTGTAGATCCAAGCTAATCAGTGTCCAGCAGCCCAGGTCGCAGGAAGGGCTGTGGGGAGCATGAGCAGGTTCTGCCTAACAGAGGTTGCCTCTGTGGAGGCCAGCGGGATCTGTGGGTTTTTCCCAGGGTTCAGGTGAAGTATCCTCCACCCCTCCCACTTCCTTTGATCCGACTGTGTTCATCTGGTAACCTAGTTACTGATTCTGCTTCTCAGGAGCACTAATGCCAAGAAGAAGGTAGCTCCAACTGGGGACCTGCCACTCTAGTCCCTGAAATAATTTACTACTTAAAAAATGCAATACATTGGCATAAAAGTAGCTAGAAATGCCACTTATTGAGGGAACACTTGCTAAATGCCTTATGTGAATCGATCATCCAATCTTTTCAGTCTTGTGAGGTGGGCATTATTTTCTCCATTTCACCTACAGGGAAACGCACTCAGATCTGGGGTTTGCAGCTAAGTCTCTCTGCAGCTGAAGCCTGGGGTCTTAACCACTTCCCTTCTTGGAAGAGGCAGGGTTGAAAATGATGCTGGGCTTGCGTCTTGGCCTGTCTAGAGCCTCTCAGTCATTCCCACTGTGGGTGTCATGTGTCTGTCATGAGTGGCAGTGCTCCCGTCCCGGAACAAGCAGGGCCACGACCATATGCTAGAATGGGTGACTCAGCAGAAGCGGTGCCTCTGGGAGCCTCTGCTGGCCTGGATGCCTCCCACTAGAGTTCCTCAACCTGCAACCAGGACCCTGTGATGCGAGGCCACGGGGCTGGAGAGGGGCAGCATGGAAGTGCTTTCTCTGTCCCTCTCTTACTTATAGATCAAAAAAGGAAAATTAAAAGGGGGCCAGGGTGGGTGTCTGCCTGGGGATCCAAAGGATGAGGGCAGCCATGTGGGAGGGGTGATGGGAGGACCCATGTCTGGCTGGCTAAGAGAGACTTGGAAGCCAGACTGGAACTAGCATTCCAGAGAACCTGGAGCCGGCAGGGAATTAGAGGAAGGGGTGGGGAGGGGAACAGCCATAGGGATACCCTGGCTTCTGTAGAAGGGGGTCCCAGACAGCTGTTTGCAGTTGCTCTCCCAGACCCCCGGGGGGCCCAGAAGAACACAGGATGCTAAGCCTAGAAGGGAAAGGCTGCCAAGGGCAGTCTCCCAGGTGAGCATGGCAGCTGTCCCTGGGTTTCCACCACTAAGGCTTCCCGGGGCTGCCCTCCGCTCCCAGCCTGAGAAGAAAAAACTGCCTATAACATTGGCCGAATGGAAACAGACGACAGCAAAGCTCTGACTCATGCCTTCCAATGCCAATACACCTGATTTTGTATTTCCCAGCGCTTTTATGAGCACCAAGAGCTATTAGAATTGCAAGAGGTGTGTGGGGAGATGGGAGTGGGGGCTCACACTCGCAGCATGGGAAGCGGGGCTGAGACTCTTGTCGGGGGAGAAAGACCTCAGCCTCCCACCCCATCCCCATTCACCTGAGAGGTGGTGGGAAAGGGAGTGGTCTGGGCTCTGGGCAGAGGCTCTAGGCAGGCCACACGGGTGGGGGACCTGGAGGAGAGGCGTGTGAGTGGATATGGTTTGAGGGAGCCCCTAGAGCATGGGAATTGGGTTGTGAAAAGAGGACTGGGCTTGGGTACAGCCCTGGCTGCCTCCTAGCACCCCACTCAGACTCCTCTCCTCCCTGGGCCCTCACAAGGGGGTCTGCAGGTGTGTCTGCTGGGTCAGTGCAGGCTCCACTCGCTCCCAGGCCCAAGGCTACGAGATAAAATGCGAATCATTCCCTGCCTGTAGGCTCCTAGCTTGCTTCAGTACTTATCTTCCCTGTCATGGAGGGAGTGGGAGGTCTCCAATCCCTAGGCCGGCGTGGGAGCCGGAATTCTAGACCAGTTTATCCAGTAGGATTGAGCAGCTCACTCTGCATCTCAGATATGGGGGGTTGTAGCAGCAGTTCGGGTTTCATCTGGGCGCAGAGTGAGGCAGAGCTCTGGGATTCCAGGCTGCTTTTCCAGGTGAGGTGGCAAACGAATGGAGGTAGAGCTACGTGGGAAGACCTGCCAAGACTGAAAGATCCTGACAGACCCCAGGGCACCCCAAGGCTTATCAGTTAGTTGCTTGCCTGGGCCCCATAGCCCCTGTTGCATGTTGCATGCTTTTGGGTTTTTAACAACAGCAGCCAACTTGTGTGTCATGCTTCACAGTTGGCAAAGACCTTTCACACATTCTGCACTCTGAGGTGTGTCTATGAGGCTGCTCATGTTCCACGTAAGAGGTGAGCCCTCAGTGAGTGGCAGAGCCCAGACCCCTGCAGGGCTGTGGGCTCCACGCTGGGTGCTCTTCCCTCCTCTCAGCGCCTGCGTGAGGAGTGAGGGGCACCACTTTCCCTCCCAGACTGAGAACTGCCCCCGCCCCCATGCCTGGGCATCACAGGTGACAGCATTCTTCACGTGACCTCACCTCTTCTAGAGACTTCTCACGTCAGGGCAATGTCATGGGATGATATTTACTGTGAATAGGAAGTCCCACACCCCCCTGGGTTATAAATCCTCTACAGGATGGCCGGGGCTTGAAGATGACACTCTGGCTTCTGCAGACCCTAATGCTGGATGGGGTAGGTGCCGGCAGTGCCTGGTGACTCAGACTGAGGCTATGTGTAGACGCCAGCCTGGGACAAACCCAAGTGTGGAGGAACTGGGAAGGCCCCTTTCTCTGGACAAGACCCTGGCCTGGTGGGAGGCCTCCCCACCAGCTTTGCCACCGCACTCTGGGGATGTTTCTGATGCATTTGTCGCTTGCCCCACTTACCCTTTTTGATCTGTCTCCTGCTTCTCTATAGTTACCAGCAAAGCCTCAGAAGCACTCACTGCTTTAGGGATAGGAAGGTGGGGAGAGGCTCTGAAGCTGCAGCTTCCTCTTCTGCAGAAAGACGACTCCCACCCCATTCCTTCTCCAGGTCCCCCGAGCTGGGCTCTTCGTCACCTCCCAGAGCAATTTGGCCTGGAGGCAGGATGTGTGCAGCACCACAGCCCTCTGGTCCTGGGTGGACTTAGATGGGTGCCCTGGATTTTTGGTTCCCAGTCTGCACTGCCTCTGCTTTGATAGAGATGCACCTGCCCTGAGTTCCCTGAGGATTTTTCTCTTGTGCTTACAACTGGATTTCTGGTTTTGCTTCTACTCCAAGCCTGGTCCCTGGCATTTGCCTCTCACCTGTGGTTTTGCATCGCATTCCTCGCCCCGTCATTTCTTCTTGTGCTGAGGCTGTAGCTGCTTGCTGGTCCCTCATCCATAGCTGCCCACCTGCCCAGGCGTGCGCCTCTCCCGCCTTGGATTCATGTGCAGCGCCTTCCCCACACTCCTGGCCCTGTGGTGAATACTGAACCTGAGACTGGGATAGGAGGAGAGAAAGCTCGGTGCAAGGAGGGGCGGGCCCAGGAAAAGGAGACAGAGATCACTTTGGGAGCTGCAGGGATGTCCTGAGAGGTACATGGCAGCCAATGCAAGCTCTGTTTCAGGGACCCTGCTCTCCTGGCCCAGCAGAACAGTCCCACAACAGGGTGACTGGCCCCCAGGCCACGGGGACCGGAGACAAATTTTTAACACAATTACAAAACTTGCTCTAATTAGGCAGGACAACTAATTAGCTGTCAGTATGACCCTATGTCAACTAGGTCACAGGGTCAGTAGAGTTTAATCCCCTGCCTGCGGTTACCCTACCCTGCAGCCAGGCTGGATGAACTGGAGATGAATGTCATCGTTTATTTTGAACAATAATGTCTGTCTGTGTTTCATTCCACAAAAATTGCCTCTTGGCATCATGAAGCTCAGTCTCTGGTCAGTCATCCTCCAGTCCTGCGCTGCCATCCTTCCAGCCTTCTCACCCTCATGCCTGCATTCTGCCTGCTGTCTGCCTCATAAAGAATCCCAGTTCCCAACCCGTCCAATTTCTCTCATTTCATCCGCTCCTTCCTGGCGTTGCTTTCAGCCCCCAAGGTGAATCCCCTCAACATACCATTCACTTGCAAATATAATACCTTCATCCTCGTGCTTCTCCCACACCTGGCCAGCAACACTGCAGTTCTGGGGCAGGCCCGCCATCCACCGACACCACCCCTGCACCTGGGTGCTGAAAAGTCCTTCAGCCACGGGGCGGTGACCACAGCAATGGCACTGCCTCCAGCGCCCAGCGGAGTCTCCCACCCCCAGCAGTGTATCACCTGTGGTCCAGAGGAGCCTCCTGAGCTCTAAATCTAGATCTCCATTGCCCAGTGGACATCTCCTCATGGGGTCTGGCAGGTGCCTTGAGCTCAACAGGATGGTGGAACTGCCTTCCTGCATGTCCCCAGTTTGATCAGTGGCACTGCCCTCCACCCTGTTGCCTAATCAACACCCAGGTCTCCCTTCTCTCCCTAACTTATTACCTCCAATTGATCACCCAGTTCTGCTGACCCTCCCTTCCAGATGTCCCATCCTGCTCTCCCCTGTCCCTTGCCCTGGGTCAGGCTCCCACCATCTTTCCAGGATGACCCTTCTGACTGTCTGGAGGGCCGCCTTAGCCTGGGCTCGCTACTCCCAGCATGTCCCAACCCTGGCCGAAGTGAGCCTCTCAGGGGCCAATGGAATCCCGCCTCTCCTCGAGGAGCAGCAACGCCTCCATGACCTGCCCCGTCCACCACTTGATCCTCGGCCGCTACCTGGTCACATGGAACCTTCAGGGAACTGTGATCTCTCCTGCCTCTCTATCTTAAGCCCAGATCCTCTTCCTTCACCACATCCTCTGCTGGCAACTGACTACTGACTGTCCTTCACAATTCATCACAGACCTCACGTAGCCCAGGGGTGCTTCCTTGACATCACCCTCAAATCTGGGTTTTGGGCTGTCCCCCAGTGCTCTCCAAGCCCCCACGTTTACCTCTTACAGCACAGATTACTTGTCAGTGTGTGCTATCTCAGCTCCTCTTTCTCTCCACCAGAGGTCTGTGGCTGTTTCTCTCATTTCCAGATGCCTGGCCTATGTGGGAAAACAGTAGTATATGATTATCGAATCAATAATCAAGGAGGACTTCCTAGAAGAAGCAGCTATTAGGTGGTGTTTTGTAGGCAGACACAAACTGGTGTGAAGAGGAGGATGAGAATGACTTGCATAGAGTAGAGTCTCTGACTCAGAGTCCTTCAAGAGTCAGGGGAAACTGAGGGAAATGACTAGACATATTTGACAAGGAGTCGGGGACACCAGCAGAAAACATGCTCCACCAAAACACATCACATTCAGGTATGAATTCAGCACTGCAGAGGCCAAAAAAGCACAGACAAAACATGTCTTGGTTGGAGGTGGCAGGGCCAGGGTGGTGGCGGCAGGTGTGGCATAGAGTAAGGCTGCAGAAATGGAACAGCTGGTGGGGTCCTTAGGAAACCAGCAATAGGGCATGACTTCCTGCAAGATGGGATCTCTGTAGTTCATCCTGGCCCTGGCAGAAAATCCAGGTATCTTGGAGGCCCTGGAATTTGAGGGATCCACTCAGAGGCTGCCAAACTGGCCTTGGCAGCCACAAACAGGAATGTCATACCAGAGACATAGGAGGCAGGGATGGCCTTCCGTTTTTGGAGCTTATCATAATTCCAAAAGACACAATCCTGAATGTTGAAATCCTGAAAGTTCAAAATCCCAAAAAATAGGCCAGGCGCAGTGGCTCACGCCTGTAATCCCAGCACTTTGGGAGGCTAAGGCAGGTGTATCATTTGATACCTCACCTGAGGTCAGGAATTTGAGTCCAGCCTGATCAACATGGTGAGATCCTGCCTCTATCAAAAAATACAAAAATTAACCAGGTGTGGTGGTGCACACGTGTAATCCCAGCTTCTCAGGAGGCTGAGGCGGGAGAATCTCTTGAATCCCGGAGGTAGAGATTGCAGTGAACCAAGATCATGCCACTGCACTGCAGCCTGGGCAACAGAGCAAGACCCTGTCTCAAAAAACAAAATCCTGAAAATATAATTCTGGAAAAAATAATAAAAACATTCATTAAAACATATTTATTTATATTTAAAAGGGGATTTATATTGGAAACATAAAAACACAACAGAATACTTTATAATGTACATTACCCAATAAAATAGGCAGTGATAACATATATATTTTTGCAAGCATAAACACTCAGGTAATGACGGTTGCATGGTTATAAGAGTCATCAGCAGATGAACCATATTCAGAAAGAAATAGGTCAAAAAGAGCAAGACATAAATGCATGTCACCAAGGTTGGTACTTGTATGCACCCAGCTTTATAACTGTGGTCATCTGAAACAACAGGATGAGCAACCAAAGTCTTTCAATGAGTTTGATCAAAAACTTCAATGGATCACCACCAAAAATGCGGTTGTTTATGCATGGAGCTGCATTCCAAGCTACGAGGAGCTGAGATTCCAAGAAAGTTTAACTTCACAAAGGCAGATGTACAGAAAGGACATCTCTGTAACTACTGAGAAAATTTCAGTGTTTTTTTGTGCATACACAATGCATCCACAAAAGTTGACATTGTGATAATACACTTTCAGGGAGCCAAATTTGAAAACAAACAAACAAACAAGAACAAACAAACCAAAAATCAAAAACCAAACCAAACAAACAAAAAAGCCCAAAACCCTTCATAAAACAAATTAGAACTCTCTAAAAGTCTATACAACTTGGCCTCCAGTCTTGCAAATATCGCAAAGATGAAATACCTAGAATAGGGAACTGTGAAAAATAATGTTCAAAATTTAAAATAGTGAAAAAGAAAAGAAAAAAACAACAAAAAAACTATCCTGTGATTGTGATTTTGGGGATTTTAGATGTTAGGGGTTTTAGACTTTAGAGATTACGATCTTTCAGGATTTTAGCATTTGAGGTTAAGCGTTTGCGATTTTGTTTTGGTCCAGCTCCTCTTTTTCCTCTCTGAGACCTTATAGGCAGATGTGGAGACCACATCACTGTCAGGGGAGCAGGAGCTGGGGTGGAGGTCTTTGGGACCTTGAATGAGATGAGTTCTCAAAGCTCCTTCCAGGCTAAAGAATAACAGAAATTGTAGGACTTAAGCCTCCAAGTGAATAAAAGCCTCATAAACACATTGCTTTAGGAGGTTAAAGAGCTACGCTGGATAGCCCAGGAATGCCCCACCTGTTGCCTCTAGTTTTTGGGGTAAGACACTATTTCAGCCACCAGAGGGCGCTCAGGTTGCAGGAATGGTTTCTCAGGCCTGCTGCTTGGAGGAGTTGAATAAGGAATCTAAGGAAGGGTGGCTGGAGCATGGGAGCCATGCAGATGGGACTCCAAGACTGAGTCTGACCTTTTCAATCACTCTGCCATTGTCCCCAGCTAAGGCCATTAATTAATTCATTTATTCAAGGAACATTTGCTCTGTACCCGGGAGCCCTGAGCTAATAAGCTTTGTTTTTGTTTGTTTGAGACAGAGTCTTGCTCTGTCACCTAGGCTGGAGTGCAATGGCATGATCTTGGCTCACTGCAAGCTCTGCCTCCTGGGTTCAAGAGATTCTCCAGCCCAGCCTCCTGAGTAGCTGGGATTACAGGCGCTCTGCCACCATGCCTGGCTAATTTTTGCATTTTTAGTCAAGATGGG